TACATATGTATAAGCGTATGTGTACGAAGTAGAACTATGATCTTGCAAGCGCCAGCTTAATAAAATTTTTCACGGCCACTCTCGCATTGCAAAATTGATCCTTTCATATTAGAATAACTGTTTTAATAACTTAACCACAGATTTTTTTGGAACTTGTTTCCCTTATCTAAGACATACCAAGTGGACCTTTTGACGTAATTTTTCACTTTTAAATATTTCGTCCTGATTAATTTTTTACTTAACTTCTATTCTCATTTCTCATATATATTCAAATCACTTACCGTCAAATTGTTATCGGCCAAATTCAGATGTTTAAGCGTAGTTAACCCCTCGAAGGCGCTCAAATCCAACTCAGAGATCACATTGCCTCTCAGCGTCAGCACCAACAACTCGCGCAGCCCTTCAAAGCTATCGTTGCGCACATATTCCACCAGATTATCAGATAAATCTAGCGACTTGAGGGCATGCAAATGCTGCAAATTATTCGATGGCACATCCAGCAGCTGATTGTTTTTGAATATTAAAATCTCCAATGAGATCATATTGCGAAAACAGTTATCCTCCAAGCTGACTATATTATTATTAGTCAAATCGAGTTTTATCAGCGACGTCAGATTGCTCATTGCACTGGGATGCGCCACCTCAATGCGATTGTAACTCAAATCGAGCACCAATAAATTACTCAACCCCTTGAAGGCGTCCTTCTGCAATGCGCTCACCGAATTCCGACTCAAATTCAACGTACGCATATCCCGTTGATATTCGAAATTCTTCGAACCAAGCGTTTCGATGATATTCTGTGAGAGATCAAGTACTTCCAACTTCATGTAGAAGGGCAACGTAAATTCCAGATTGCGTATTTTGTTTTGTGTCAAATTGATGTACTTGGTTTCGGGATTTAATTGTATGGGCACATCTTCGAGCGCTGCGTCCACGCAATATGCCCGACTATTGGCATCGCCACTGATGCACTGGCACTTGGATGGGCAGAAGGCGCTCGTATGCGTAAGTAAACTTAGCAGCGTAACTGTGAATAGGAGGAGGAGTATGGAAGATGAGCGAGACGCGCTTGCTTTTGTTAATCTATGTTGTTGCTGTTGTCGGTTTCGGTGGTTTGGATTGCAATTTAGTGTGTTCGCTGTCAGTTTTGCAGCAATTGTTTCGTTTTGCCATCTCACTGGACTTGTGCACGCTGCTTGGGTGGCCATTTTGTTGGTTTTGTGCTTGTGTTTGCTACGGAAGCGATCACTTCGTGCGTGTTGTTGGCTCATTTTTTTTAGTTTTTTCTTTGTTGTTTTCTTTCAGCAATGTTTAAACGATCGCTTTTATTTCAGTGTTGATTTACTTTTTGTGGCATGTTGGGAACTGTAGGGGAAAAAAAGAAAAATATGTATGTTTTTATTAAAAAGTCAAAAACTATTTGCTTAGAGATATATAATTGTTTAGGCGACTCTCTTATAAGTTGCTTTAAAGCTAATTTGATGCAAAGCAAGATACAGTGTTGATTTTTATATACACAATGTTTTTGAAGTAAAATTTTTTTTGTTATTTTTCCAGAAAAATATTGTCCAAGCTTTAACCAAAACCATATAATCAATGTTTCAAACTTTGGATACAATTTGGGAAAATCTAACAAATTTTCCACTGAATCTTTAAAACATTTTTTGGGTATGCAGTTTGATCACTCATATAATTTAAGACCGGCTAAAAAATCGTGTTGATTTTAAATAATTTCTTTGGTGTTTTTTTGTGTACATAAGTGCAATTTTTAGAACGTGGCCTTGAGTTTTTTTAATTTTGTTGCGAACGATTTTTCGCATTTTATTTCATATAAAATACATGTTTAGTTGGAAAAAGTGCAAAAATCGTCAGCAAAAAAATGGGAAAAAAATGAATGAAAATGTTTGAAATTTTGATGAACAGTTTTGAAATTTTCCTAGTTTTGCATAAAGTTAGAAAAATAATATAAGAATTTTCCTTGAAAAATACTACGAATTAAAAAAAAAAAAAATCAACACGTGGTCACACAAAAAAAAATCATGTTTTAATCCAAGCTATAAAATACCTGTGTAATAAATTTTAATGAAATCTATCGATTTATTTCAGCGTGAAAGAGTAACAAACACAGTCACTCATTTACTGGCTTACTCAAGCACTCATTTATTCACTCGCTCAAGTATTCCCTCACTAAATCACTTACACACATACTACACATATTAAAATTGATTGGAGAAACCAAAAATTCGAAGATTAAAATAATTTTGAATTTGTTGAAACACAACCCAAGAGTTCTGAAATTGTGAGAAAAAAAGCTATTCCTTAGGTTCTATTCATACAACCCAATGAGACTTTGAATCGAAATGCGAGTCAAATACTTAAACCAAGTAATTTGGTTTAGATTTTTTTTTAATTTCCATTCACTACAAATCCAACTAAGCTCCTCCAAAAGTTTAATCAGTCTTTCGTTTGGTTCTATTCCCACAATTTAAACTTATTTTGGCCAAAAAAAATTTACATGACTACATTCTATAAATATACAACACACTAAGTCACCACGGCAATTTTGTTCGAAAACTTATAGACATTCTAAAATGAACTTTCAATAAAATATTCCGGTGAATTATCAAGTTACAATATTGATCCCACGCTGACGCACAAAGAGTGGCGAAATACTACATACAATTTTATGAGTTATGCAGGTATGCCATGGCGTATGAGCAATGTGGTGTGACAAAGATATCTACTCATATAAGCGAGCTAACAAAAAAAAAACTTGTAAAAAAAGAATTGCGTTGCAGAGCAGAGAGCAACAAATGCTAGGGCCTAGAAAAAAATAAAAACTAAAAGGTGCTAGCTACAAGGTAAAGTTGTAAGCTAACTATAAAAAGAGCCAAAAGTGAAAGTTGGAATCCTTTGAGCAAATAGCACTTCGCTGCAAACATAACGCGCACTCGCTTTGCACAGGTGAAAGTTTCAACAGTGCCGCCCGTACTTTTTTTAAATAAAATACGTATTTGTAACGCTGAAACAATTTCCAAAGCATTTTGTGGTAAACTCTTTGACGTTAAAGAACTGCCTTTTTTCGCTGCGCCCAAAGCTAGTTTATTAACACAGGCATTTCGCTATGGTACATACTAAATACATTCACATAAGGGGAACTTTATTGAGTAAATGATTCCGCGTTGATGCTGCGTATGTTTTTAATATTACAACAGTGAGTACAGGCTGCCTTTCGATGCGAACGCAAAGTTTTGCCAAGAGTTTTCAGCGCTCTTTTCCTCTTTGACGATTGCTTTCGGTGGAAATCTTTAGTTGTACCACAAAGTTTAAAAACGCCTTTTTTTGTGAATAATATTGTTGTTGCAGAAGAATTATTGTGGCACACATGCTTGGTTGGCTATTTGCGGCCTTTGAGCGCCTTGTAAACTGCTTTGAGCGTTAATATTTCGTTTGAAAGTAAAAGTTAGCTGGCTACAGCGGGCGTATTAGCAAGTGCTTACTTAGGTAAGTATATATGTATGTCAAGTAGTTATAGTAAAAAAAATTGAGGTGATATTTACGAGTTATTTTGTTATACTAAATTCTTAAGAAAAACTCAGCTCAACTTTTGTAAATAAAAGTAGAACAAATAAATATAAATAATTTCTAAATAAACAATTATAACTATTTTTATATAGGTATATATTATATTTATATTTAAAAGCGATATAAATAAATGATACAATTTTTGAGTTACGAAATCCTTTCTACTGCATTTGAAAGAAAGGAAGAAGTGTAGCAGGCTCATCTTCAAAGCTTGATTTCATATGGGGTTTCGGTTAATTATGAACTGACTATAGAATTGCTTCATTATTCCTTGGGCCTTATTGAGGAAGAAAGAAAGTTTCGCGGTGTTTTGCTTACCTAGTGTTTATTACTTAAGCTGCTCTATATAAAAAAAGTTACTTTTGTGTCACTGGTTCGTACGTTTTCGAAATCGTTGTTGGGGGGGCTTTGCCGGTTTTTTTTTTTCTTTGAATAGAGGCAGATTCGCACCGACAGAGTCGCGTAAGTGTGTGGATACCTTAACTTCGAGAAGTTTTCAAATATAATGTTCGTATTAGAGGCATTGAAATCTAATATAAAATGCAGCATATCTGTAAAGTTTCAAGAGTGTGCCACCAAATTAAAAAAAAAATGACAGCATACATATTATCTGCGATTTTTTTATTTTAAAAGTCTAACTTACTTCGAAATGTCAATATTAAATGGTGGAAATATTCTTCTTGCCTAAACAAACCAATCTAGATTAATAAAACCAGTGTACCACCATATGAAAACAAACAAATTACTTGATTATAAGATGACGATGATTTGCGAAACAAAAATTCCGATTTTAAAATACATGAAGAAATCAATATAAATGTACAAATATTTGTGACGAATACGTGCACACGAGAAGATAATGCCATAAAGATAATGATCATAAAGATAAGTGGGCCAACGTTTTCGACCAAAAAACGTCTTTAACGAAAAATGTAACAGCTCGTGAGATATGCTAATATATGCCAATATTTAAATTGCCATTTTAATTAGACATAACACCCATCATCGCTAAAATTTGAAAATCGGTCTACTCTGATCCGTTTAAACTTGTGCGGCTCCAAGTTAATGATTATGATAAACTTGTAGAATTAAAGCCTCTAGAATAACAAAACAATGGCAGCATTAATAAGCTGTAGAAAGGCCGTAAAATTATTCAAAATTTAATGTTCGGTCAAAAGTTATCACATAAAATTCCGCTATTAGATATAAAGTGGTAGCGATTAATGGTCGATCGAATTTTAAGGCTCACCACGAGCCTACCTAGGCTTATGCCTAATAAAGGTGGTCTTAGATATTGTAGAAGAATTCTGTACAACAGAGTGGGTGCTGAGTTTTACTTTATTCGGCTTCGATCTGGGCCGATGTTGTTTTATAAAGTCATCTCTCAGTGGGCGCTTCTGGCCTAAGGCGAGAAGGAATTGCAGTAGTGGAAAGACGTCGTTCGATAGAAATTTGGCGAAAGCGATGGGATAAATCACGTAAGGGGAGAAGAACCCAGAAGCTTATACTTACAGACATATCGACTCTCAACGCATTACGGTAGGTTTAAGACCAGCTGAGCACCTACCGAGTCTCGTGAATAAACACCTTGAATGGCAGTGACATCAGGAGATTGGTTTGTGAATAAATTTCAGTATGCAGGTGCAACTGGAGGACAGGAGGTTGCAATTTAAACGATGCTACATTCTACATGCAACGGCCTCTAAAAATAAAGAATACAAATTTTTAAAACTTCACACTCTGATTATTTTGGTACGTTTAAATATCGACCAGGTCTTAATAAAAAAAAAAAACCTTTCATAAAATGGCATGATGAACTTTTGCTTGCCATAAAAAAGGTTTGTCGATTTGTATGTGTGTATAAGGCAATCCATCTAAACTTTTTTTTTTTAATTTTAAATAAAACACTTAAAACAGAACTGAATGTCGTAATCTTTTTTATCACCCGAAAGAAGAATCTGGCTTATTGACGAAGTCTTGTCTGACTTCACACAGTCCCAAAGAAAAAAAATCTAGGGGTGTGATATCATACCATAACTTGCTGATACCAAATATTGCCGACATCACGGGCGTCAATTTCAAGCGACAAAAAGGCAGTCGAGTGATAATAAAGATTTGTTTTAAGTGTCTTATTTCAATTTAAAAAACCTAGGTCTGGATGAATAATCCTATATATAATATGTCTAAAAATATATTTACCCTTTCCTTTAGAAAATAAATGCATACTCATAAGAAGTCCTTGTATCGAAAAACTATTTAAAATAAAATGAGAGAATAAATTCCAGCCATAATAAATGCCCATCGCTACCAAAATTTCGCTAAAATCAACTCGCAGGGCAGCGGTGATTTATCTTCAAAATAGCTGCATTTCCGTGACAATTTCAAGGACTTATCGCTGCTTAGCAGCACATTAATGCGGATGCACGCCTTTCGGTGCAGCGCCACTGCGGAATGTTTGCGTTGCTTAAGCTAGGCTATTATGAGGCGCTGTGCAATTCGCGTGAACAGTGCAATTTTCACATGCAAATAAAAGGAAGAAAAAAAGGAAATGAAAGGAGAAGTAGAAGTAGATGAAAAAGAAAAGGTGAGCTGACAGGTGCTGAGCACTGAAGAATGAGAAAAAAGTGTAACGAAAATGAAATAAAAACCACGAAATGCATGAAAGAAAAAATGCAAAGGACAACTGAAAAAAATACTAGCATCGATAGAAGAAATAACGTGAAAGGGAAGTGTTACAGAATTGTAATATCGAGCGCGAAATCCTGAAAGTTCAATGATAA